AGAGCAGCTGAAGTTGCCACAAGCCCCGCGGGGCCCCTCCACACGGGTCAGGGTTCACTCCAGCCCCCCGCCATGCAGTGGGTGGCAGGTTTTCTTCCAGTGGGCACAGCCATCCTGGGGAGAAGTCAGCGCCAAGCCTGGTTCCAGACCCTTGAGTCTCTTCCTCCCAGGAGGGGAGGAGGGGTTATAAATAGCCTGGACTCCTTCAGCCCTCCACAGGCACAGATCCCACACCCCCGCCCCAGCCTCAGCCAGCTGGTCCCTCCTCGCCCAAGTTCCCACAGCCTTCTGGAAGAGGGAGGGAAATGGCTCACCCACAGTCGGAGTGGAGAACACTGCCCTTCAGGCCCCCATGGGAGCGAGTGGCCGCCCATGAACTCTAACTGTAACCCTGCCACACCTCTAAACCCCTTTGTAACTGCAGTGCTGGAGAGGGCTGGGGGGGTCACAGTATTCTTAGGGGGACTCTTTCACCCTGGTTGGCCCAGAAACCCCAAGCTGCATGCTCAGAGTATGTTCCTGCAGTGAATGGAGTTACAGCAGTAACATTCTCCCCTCTCTCTGCCTTGGTTTCCCTGTCTGTTAAGAGCTGAACTATGAACTATGAGTTACCTATGAGATTAGCATGCAACGCAAGTGAAAAGGCAGTGTCAAACTATAACACCGTATTGTCATGAAGATACTGGATCTTGGTTTCTTCTCCAGGAGCCCCAAGCGCAGCTATGGGGACATTGATTCTTATCTGTTCATGAGAGAAGAATTATGCTCGGTGACACTGCATTTGCCTTGAATTCTTGATACTGCGTGCCCTTGAAAGCATAAAACTTACAAAATGTTCTCTCTTATAAGTCGTTTCTGACTAATACAGATTGACACACACCACATCCAGAATTATTTTGATTTAATACGGTTCTGCTGGACCGTACATGACGTTTTAGACTGAAGAATAAGCATTGCCCTAGAATATTTAGGTTCGGGAGAAAAAAGTTCTCTTAACAATCATTCTGTTTAGCACTCAGACGCTTCCTGCCCATACACACTGGTAAGAAACAAGTGGCTAAAATTTAAGTGGCCAACTCGCAGTTCTTTTTAATTAAGACACTTTGTGTGCTCAATAAAATACAACGTAAAAAACATTTACTGAAAACCCACTCATTGATGTCTAATAGCTGTGTCAAATACCCATAACAACATTTATCCCAACACCCCCAGATAATTGCTCATCTTTCTCATTTAGTATCCACAACAGCACAGCATTTGTGCCCAAGTGTGATTGATCCAGAATTGGGCTCCCTTTCAGAAATATCTGTAAAACCTAATTACCAGGAAAACAGAGTTCTGGCATCCTACGGAAAGTGGGTGCCTCACAGTGAGACGAGCTGCACACTCATCTTGGCTAATCAAACCACATTACGTTACAAAAGGAGTTTGAGGAACTTGGGATGAGGAGGGAGCAGGAAAAGTTGGGATAGTGTCGGACTGGAAATCTGTAGTGACAGCTCTGATCTTTTTAAGCCAAGGGCAGAGGACAGGAAATGGGCTGGCAAGCATGGATGTAGAAAGTACCAGATAATGAGCCCATGATGGGCTTGGGCTGTGGGAGTGGCATTTCTGATCTCAGGCCCTACAAGGCCTTGTTGAGGGAACTCTCTCCACCCCGGTCTGGGAGGCTGATGTCATTTCTAGTCTCCCTGCGCCTCTAACCACTGTGGCAGGTCACTCTCCTTCCTCGGGCCTGAAGCTGCTCCTCTGTAAAACGAGCACTCTTTAATATTTCTAGGGTCTCTTTCAGCTCCAAAATTCTGTGACTTCCTTTAAAGCAAAGGACATGCTTTCTGCTCAGGTACTTGCTGGGGCTGGGGAATAAGGAGTGGGAACGGCACCAGCCAGAATGAAGGGCTGAGTGTTTCCAGCTCCCATGCAGTTCTGTACCGACTTGCAACACCTGGGTATCAGACCCACTCTGGGAATAATGATTTCTTTCAGCCCGGGATGGAGCTACCCGGGTGGTGCTAACCTCCGCTGCCCTGGATTTGTCAACCTGGCCAATGAGGAACGGGGCCAAACCACTGGATTTCTCAGAGCCTCCGTCCCAGAGCTGACCAAGGCACATCTCCCTCTTGTGAGGGTCTTCCCTTCCCATCGTCATCGCTCTTTCCGTCCCGGAGGCCCCAGAAACCCCAGCCCTCGCCTGGAGAATGGTCCAGCGAGGCTCCCTGGGCAGGCAGCACAAGCCACAGACTCCTGGCTCCCCTCGGTCCTGGACCCTCCACACCTCGGCTTGGGTACCAGCCCCCGCGGCCGGATTCAAAGGAAACGGGAGTTGTTGCCGCTTCTCTTTTCTTTGGCTCCTCCTGGCCTTCTTCCTAATGAAATCAAAGAAGCAGCCCTAATAACAAAGCAACACAGTGGCTGGAGACGATTCGCTTTCAAAGGAGCAGGAGATGCGCACACCATGAGCGAAGGCGCGCCCGGTTCCCGTGCGCGTCGCTAGGAAGAGATTTTGTGCTGACCCTTGTGGGCGACAGGTACCGGGCCGGCCTTCGCTTAACTTTCCCGAGGCACAGAGGAACCGTTGAGTGCTCCCATTTCCCGCAACTTCCCAAGTGGACAGCAGCATGGGTCTCAGGATCCTGCAAAGACACCACCTCGAGCAGGGACCGCTACAAAGCCCTTGAGGCGCATCGCGAGATGCCGGGTCCCAGACTTTCCAGTCCCTTTCCTAATCTTCAAGATAAGACCTCAGTGCGGGTGCCAAAGTCTCAAGAAACCGCCACTCTCCAAAATGTTCCCGCGCCTTCCCGGAAGAAGTGCGGTAAAAGTTTTGGCAGAAACCACCTGTGGCTGCCGACAGACCCGCCCCGCCCGGGCCCAAAGGCGCCGCCGAGCCCGGGGCCGCACGCGCCCGTAGAAGTTCCCTTCCAGCCCCGCGCGCCACTTCGCTCCGGGCCGCGGTGCCAGCCAGGAGGCGCGGCGCCCGCTCGCTGGCTCGCTCTTCGCTGGCTCTCCCCTCCTCCCTCCCTCCTCCCGCCTCCTCCCGTTGCATGGCTGCCGCACGGAGCCCCTGAATAGCCACCACAGCCCCCCGCCTCCTGCCCGCCGCGCCGAGGGCGCCCCTGTCCCAGCCTGCGCCCCAGGATGCGCGGACCGCCGGCCTCCTAGCAACAGCCCGGGAGATCGCTCCCCGGCGCCTGCGATGTGGAGGCACCCTCCGGGAGCCCCGCGACCCCCGACCCGCCTCAGCAGCCGAGATGCGGTAGAGACCGCGACCCTCGCAGTCGATGCCCCAGCCCGGCACGCGAAGCCACTCACCTCTGCGCGCCGCCGGACCCGCGCGCCTCCTGCACTTGGTGCCGGGCCGCTGTCCTCGCGTCCGCCTTCGCCGCCGCCGCGGTCCGTCCGTCCCTGTGCGCCGGAGCTGCGCGGGCCGCTCGGCTGTCAGAGTCTCGTGGCTGGGCTGCGCCGGCTGTGTAGAGCCGAGCGGCAGTGGCGGGCGCGCGGCAGCTCCTCCCTCCCCGCTCCGCGCCTCCGCCCTCCTAGTGCCCCGCCTCCCGCGCCGCGGCTGTCAGCCCTGCGCCCCGCGCCCGGCGCCCGCGCTGCCCGCGCCGGCGGCTCGGGGTGCGCACTGGGCTAAAGGGCCCGGATGTCTGAGGTCGCCTCTCTCGCGCGCCCGCCCCTCCCCTGCACCCCCTCCCCGCCCTGCCACACATGCACTTGCTGCGTCTCAACCTCCTCCTCGGCTCCAATTAATTTCTATTTTGACAGTAACTGTGGCTGGAGGCGGCGCTGCTGGGGGCGCCCAGGACCCGCGGAGGCGGCGGGCTGCAGTCAGACCGCGGCGCGGGGGCGGAGTGGGGGGCCGGGCAGAGCCACCCTCCGCTCGGGGCTCCGCGTCTTTTTTCTTTCTTTTTTCTCTTTGCCTCCTCCAGGATTTAAAGGGACAGCCCCGGCCGAGGCGAGGGGCCAGGCGGCCGCCGTTTCTCCGGTCTCCAGACGCCCTCTGCGGCCCGGCCGGACCCGCCGGCACCCGGAGCACAGGCTCCAGACCGCCGGGTATTTTTAGGTCCACACCCGGCCCAGGACACCGGGGCGGCAGAGCTTGGCTCGGTCGCCCCGGCGCACGGCTATTTTTACAGAGTCCGATTGGGGGAGGAAATAAAACAACTCAGCAACTGCTTTTCCAACCGAAAGTAGGGAGCAAGGAGTCGGGGCGAGAAGTTTCCCAAATGCTCTCGGAATTCCAGAGAGCTCAGAAAGACACCTCTCCGACACGAGAAACCGCAGGCGCGCAGCACTCCAGGGCTCCCAAATCCCTGCGGGCCTCCCCGCCCTGGAGGCCGCTCAGGCGCAGGGCCCCCAACCGCTCGCCGGCCAGGGTACCCCTCAAGCTGCACAGCGCTTGCCAGGGACCGGCCTCGGGCCACCCGTCACTTGCCTGGACTGCCTGGAAGGCGTCCTTCGGAGGCATCCAATCACCCAGCTACGCAGCCAAAGGGCGGGCACTAGAAGGACTTGACTCCACCCGGTCCCTCCAAGCCCCGCCTCCGCGGATTACTGTACCCGCTGGAGAGTCTCGGTGGGAAGCGCAGCAAGCGCCGAGCGGTGATGGACAGCGCAAAGGGCCCATCCGAGGGAAGAGGAGGGGGTCTCGGTCCAGGAGCGAAGGCGTGAACTGTCGCTGGCTAGGCGACTCCTGGGCAGATGTTCCGGCCACCAGCAGGCCGGGGCACACTGGCGCTCAACCTTTTTACAACTCCCGCCTTCCGCATTCCCTGCAGACATAGAAACCCTTGCCCGCCGTGGCTTGCCCGACCTCTGCGACTGTACCCTCTGATGTCAGCGGATCCTCTCCGGGACTCTTTCTTCAAAGGCGCCGAAGTTTTCGGTCCTCAAAGTCTTACAGGGACTGCGCTTACCTGAGCCGTGCGAGGCTCCCAGGACAGGCGAGAAAGCGAATCTCTCCCTCCTGTTTCCATTCTGGCCACCGACTAATGAACGGACAGTGGGACTGCTGCTGTCTGCGTAGTGTCTCTGACTATTGAAGATACTCGATGACATCCTTTACAGGATTCACGAAAATTAATTTGTGGACCTTTTGCTTGGCGCTTCGTACCAGTGTCGCTCACTAGAAATTTTCGTCGTTTCATTCGTTCGTGTAATAAATGCACATTGCATGGCACCACTTGGGTGTAATGAAAACAAGGGAAAAGGCTCTGGAATAGGATGTGACAGCGGAAATCTAGGCACAAACATGAAAGGGTGAGCTGAAACGTACGGTTGTGTACATCATGTTTCACTGGACAGAGAGGCCTGGCTTTTCCTAATAAGAAAACAGCATTTATTTGACAGTTTGAACAGCCAGCTTATCCAAACTGTTCAAAAGCAGTTTGAAGAAGTCTAGGGAAGTCTGTTGTGGAAACTAAGATTTTTCAGATTCAGGATGTCAGACTTCCAAGTAGCTAAAGCGAAATAACATCCTTGCTTTAAGAAGCCCTGGGAGCCCTTGCCCCTCCCAAATTAGGTTGTCTGTCTCCCTGCTAAATTAGGTTGTCTGCCTCACTTCCTTTCATTAAAGGGTCTTCAGCCATTTGGAGGACTACTGACCCAGCTGATGTGGTCAAGCTTCTAAGCCAGAAGCATGGGAGTACCTGGGGGATGTGAGCCCTGCAAGACACCTGCAGATGAAAGGAATGCAGTGCAGGGAGTGAGGGCAGCCATGGCCATGAAAAGGGTGTTTTGTTTAAGAAAAGAGGGATGTGGGTACTAAATTAGAAATGCCTCTGAATAGGAAAGGTTGTCCTCCCTTCTCTGGGTACAGCTGGCTCAGAGCAGGTGTTCCATAGCTGGGGATCACTGAATGGCTTTCCATGTCACGAGCTGTGGAGGAAGGTTCCATGTTCTAGACAGTGAGCCACAGGTCTTCTGAACCTAATCACCACGGACAAAAGTTTTATAAATTTAAGAGCAATCAGGATGAGAATGGTCTGCATTCGTGATATTATGGAATATTCTTAAAGAGAGCAGCTATTACACCACGTTCACGATTTTTATTCAGTTGTCTTTTTTCCAACAAGACTTTGAGCTCCTCACCCATCTTGGTATCCTCAGTGCCTAACACACACTTGGCACCTGTTAGGTGCTCATTAAAGATTGATAAACCAAATGAATGCAAAGTTATTTTAGAATGGTGGAGTAAGCAGGGTAACACATACAGAGAGAAATCCAGTGCACTTTGTAAGACTCACTTGCAATTTACTTGTTTATATGGAAGTGCAACTGTAAACTTTGCCGTAAACAATAGGATTTATTGGCTCGTGCCAGACTTCCCTCTTTAACAGCCATGTAACCTAGAAAAGCATGTTATTCAACTCCTCAGTGCCTCCATTTCCAAATCTATCAAAAGGAGATAAGAATAGGGACTTTGCTACACCTTAGGGATGCTGGGATGACCAGATGAGAAAAAATGTGGGCAAGTATTACCTCGTGAACAGCATTCATTAAGGGGCTACTGTGGATCAAGCACTGTGCATTGTAAATTGTCAATATTAGTTATTGGAATAAATTTTTTCAGAAATTATCTGAGAATGGGGTTCAAATATTTATCTATGCCCCAAGGGTGGTGAGAGGCTGATTCAAGAGAAAAGAAAAGGGGAGAATTAACATTTACAGAGCTATTTCTAGAATCAGAATCATGGCATGCATTGTTATATGTTCCTCAGGACAACTGTGTGCAATGCATTTTGTTATGACCATTTATAGATGAGAAGTCTGAAATCAATAGCAATGGTAATGACCAAGGTCCTGAAGCTGGGAAGTGGCAGAGGCACCTTTGGGACCCAGGTTTGTGAGTTTGGGAATCCATCAGCGGCCCATTCTGCAATGCTGCCTCTAGAAGAAGAAAGAGGTAAGAGCCTTTAAGGAAAAGAGGCTAAAGAGAATTTCAAGAAAACAATGGTCTGGGCTTCCCTGATGGTGAAGTGGTTGAGAGTCCGCCTGCCGATGCAGGGGACACAGGTTCGTGCCCCGGTCCGGGAAGGTCCCAGATTCCGCGGTGCGGCTAGGCCCGTGAGCCATGGCCGCTAAGCCTGCGCATCCGGAGCTCCGCAACGGGAGAGGCCACAACAGTGAGAGGCCCTCAGGTTGTTTGTTTTTTTTTTGAGATTGAGTTGTATGAGCTGTTTATATATTTTGGATATTAACCCCTTAGTGGTCATATCATTTTCAAATTTTTCTTCCATTCTGTAGGTTGTCTTTTTCATTTTGTCAATGGTTTCCTCTGCTATGCAAAAGCTTTTAAGTTTAATTAGGTCCCATTTGTTTATTTTTGCTTTTATGTCCTTTGCTTCAGGAGACAGATCCAAAAAAATATTGCTGTGATTTCTGTCAAACAGTGTTCTGCCTATGTTTTCTTCTGTGAGTTTTATAGTATCCAGACTTAACATTTAGGTCTTTAATCCATTTTGAGTTTATTTTTGTATATAGTTTTAGATAATGTTCTAATTTCATTCTTTTACATGTATATGTCCAGTTTTCCAGCACCACTTATTGAAGAGACTGTCTTTTCTCCATTGTATACTCTTGCCTCCTTTATTGTGGATTAATTGACCATAAGTACATGGGTTTATTTCTGGGCTCTCTATCCTGTTCCATTAATCTATGTGTCTGTTTATGTACAAATAGTACACTGTTTTGATTACTGTAGCTTTGTGATATAGTCTGAAGCCAGGGCACATGATTCCTGCAGCTCTGTTCTTCTTTCTCAAGACTCTTTTGGCTATTTGGGGTCTTTTGTGTTCCCATGCAAATTTTAAATTATTTGTTCTAATTTTGTGAATAACACCATTGGTATTTTTATAGGGATTTCATTGAATCTTAGATTGCCTTGGGTAGTATGGTGATTTTAACAATATTAATTCTTCCAATCCATGAACTTGGTATATCTTTCCATCTGTTTGTGTCATCTTAAATTTCTGTCATCAGTGTCATGGTTTTCCAAGCATAGATCTTTCATCTCCTCAGGTAAGTTTACTCCTAGGTATTTTATTCTTTTTGATGTGAATATAAGTGGGATTGTTTCCTTAATTTCTCTTTCTGATAATTCATTGTTAGTGTATAGATATGCAACAGATTTCTTTCTATTATTTTGTATCCTGCAACTTTACCAACATCATTGATGAGTTCTAGTAGTTTTTTGGTGGAGTCTTTAGGATTCTCTATGTATGGTATCATGTCATCTGCAAACAGTGACAGTTTTAATTTTCCCTTTCCAATTTGGATTCCTTTTATTTCTTTTCCTTATCTAATTGCTGTGACTAGGACTTCCAATAATATGTTGAATAAAAGTGGTGAGAGTGGGCATCGTTGTCTTGATCTTAGAGGAAATAATTTCAGCTTTTCACTGTTGACTATGATGTCAACTGTGGGCTCATCATATATGGCCTTTATTATGTTGAGGTACGTTCCCTCTATGCCCACTTTCTGGAGAGGTATTATCATAAATGAATGTTGAATTTTGTCAAAGGCTTTTTCTGCATCTATTGAAATAATCATATGGTTTTCATTCTTCAGTTTGTTAATTTAGTGTATCACGTTGTTGATTGGAAGATATTGGACCATGCTTGCATCCCTGAGTTAAACCCCATTTGATCATGTTGTATGATCCTTTTAATGTATTGTTGGATTTGGTTTCCTAATATATTATTTTGAGAATTTTTGCAGCTCTGTTCATCAGTGATATTAGCCTGTAGTTTTCTTTTTTGCATGTGTTTTTGCATGATATCTTTGTTTGGTTTTGGTATTAGGGTGATGCTGGGCTCATAGAGTGAGTTTGGAAGTGTTCCTTCCTCTGCAATTTTTTTGAAATAGTTTGAGAAAGATAGGTGTTAACTGTTCTCTAAATGTTTGGTTGAATTCACCTGCAAAGCCATCAGGTCCTGAACTTCAGTTTGTTGGGAGTTTTTAAATTGCTGATTCAATTTCATTACTGGTAATTCATCTGTTCATATTTTCTGTTTCTTTTTGATTCAGTCTTGGGTGATTGTACATTTCTAGAAATTTGTCCATTTCTTCTAGGTTGTCCATTTTATTGGCATATGGTTTTTTGTAGCAGTCTCATATGATCTTCTGCAGTGCTGTGATTTTGGTTGTAATTTCTCTTTTTTTCATTTCTAACCTTATTAATTTGGGCCCTCTCTCTTTTTTTTCTTGATGAGTCTGGCTAAAGGTTTATCATTTTATTTATCTTTTCTCAGAACCAGCTCTTAGTTTCATTGATCATTTCTATTTTTTTTAGTCTCTATTTCATTTATTTCTGTTCTGATCTTTGTGATTTATTTCCTTCTACTAACTTTGGGTTTTGTTTGTTCTGCTTTTTCTACTTTCTTTAGGTGTAAAGTTAGGTTGTTTATTTGAGATTTCTCTTGTTTCCTGAGGTAAGCTTGTATCACTATAAACTTACCTCTTAGGACTGCTTTTGCTGTGTCCCATAGGTTTTGGATTGTTGTATTTTCATTTGTCTCCAGGTATTTTTTTATTTCTTCTTTGACTTCTTCAGTGAATAATTGGTTGTTTAGTAACATATTGTTAGCCTCCACGTGTTTGTGTTTTTTGCAGGTTTTTTCTTATACTTGATTTCTAGTCTCACAGTGTTGTGGTTGGAAAAGATGCATGATATGATTTCAAGTTTCATAAATTTATCGAGGCTTGTTTTGTGGCCTAGCATGTGATCTATCCTTGAGAATGTTCCATATGCACTTGAAAAGAATATGTACTCTGCTGCTTTTGGATGAAATATTTTATATGTATCATTAAGTCCATCTGGTATAATGTGTCATTTAAGGCCACTGTTTCCTTATTGTTCTTTCTATCTGGATGACCTGTCCATTGATGTAAGTGTGGTGTTAAAGTCCCCTACTATTATTGTGTTACTGTTGATTTCTCCTTTTATGTCCATTAATATTTGCCTTATATATTTAGGTAAAGTTGGGTACATGTATAAATTTATGATTGTTATGTCTTCTTCTTGAATTGATCCCTTGATCACTATGTAGTATCCTTCTTTTTCTCTTTTTATAGTCTTATTTTAACTTAACTTATTTTAAGTTCTATTTTTTCTGATATAAGTATTGCTACTCCAGCTTTCTTTTGATTTCGATTTATGTGGAATACCTTTTTCCATTGCCTCAGTTTCAGTCTGTTTGTGTCTCTAGATCTGAAATGAGTCTCTTGTAGGCAGCATATGTATGGGTTTTGCTTTTGTATCCATTCAGCCACTCTACGTCTTTTGATCGGGGTATTTAATCCATTTACATTTAAAGTAGCTATTGATATGTATGTGCTTATTGACATTTTATAAATTATTTTGGGGTGTTTTTGTAGTCTTTTTTGTTCCTTTCTTCTTTTTTGCTTTCTTCCCTTTTGATTTGATGACTATCTTTTGTGTTATGTTTGGATTCCTTTTTCTTTTTGGTGTGTGTATCTATTATAGATTTTTGGTTTGTGGTTACCATGAAGTTTATATATAGCAATCTATATATACATGAGATTGTTTTAAGTTGCTGATCTCTTAATTTCAAATGCATTTTAACAACACTTCATTTTTACTCTTCTCCCTTCATGATTACTGTTTTTGACATCATATTTTACATCTACTTGTTTTGTGTATCCCTCAACTGCTCATTGTGGATATAGATGATTTTACTTTTGTCTTTTAACTTTGCTACTAGCTTTGTACATAGTTGATTTACTATCTTTACTGTATATTTGCCTTTATTGATGAGCTTTTTCCTTTCATAGTTTTCATGTTTCTAGTTGTGGCCTTTTCTTTTTTGCTCAGGGAAATTCTTTTAACATTCCTTGTAAAGCTAGCTTGGTGGTGCTGAACCCCTTTAGCTTTTGCTTGTCTGTAGAACTTATCATCTCATCAACAAACCCAAATGAGAGCTTTGCCGGGTAAAGTATTCTTGGTTGTAGAATTTTCCTCTTAAATCACCTTAAATATATTATGCCACTCTCTTCTGGCCTGCAGAGTTTCTGCTGAAAAATCAACTGATAACCTTGTATGTAACTTGTTGCTTTTCCCTTGCTGCTTTTAATATTCTCTCTTTATCTCTAATTTTTGCCATTTTAATGACAATGTGTTGGTGTGGTCCTCTTTGGGTTGCTCTAATATTTCTTGAGAATAAATGTGGGAAATGAAATTTCTGGGTCAAAATATATACACATTTGTAAGTTAGTTAGCTCTTGTCAAATTGCCTGACAAAATAACGTACCAATGTGCATTCCTGCTGGCAGTATCCAAGAGTGTCTAAGAGTTCACTATATAGAGAGTAAACAGATGGAAAAATATCAGCCTCATTAATAATTTCAAAATGTAGATTAAAACAGGAAGTTTGGCAAGGATAGATTATCTACATTTTAATCTATCTGTCAGTCTACCTATCTTTGCCAAACTTCTTCTTTTAATGTACATTTTGAAATTATTAATGAGGCTGATATTTCTCCATATGTTTTTTTGGCCATAAATATTTTTCTTTTGTTAATTGCTTATTTGTGCCCTTGGCCCATTTCCTAATGGGTTGTTCTTTTTTTTTTTTTTCTTACTTTTGTAAGAGCTCTTCACATTGTGAGGTTATTAATCCCTTGACTGTCACATATATTGCAAATATTTTTACCACTTTGCCATTAGCTTTTAAATTTTGTTTGTATTGATATCTTTAATATTCTAGGTTACAAAGGAATATATCATCTCTATACATTTCTAATAATATAAGTATATTAGGTTAAAAAAATTAAATTTACCATAACATCCACAAAACACAAGAATTTTACTCTTCTCCCCAGATATAACCACCTTTAACAATTTGTTGATGACTTTCCAAACTTTTGCCATGCATTTCTGTTAAG